GAGTACGACTAGCTATACATGCAACTTTTGGTTGCCTATTTAAGTAGTCTGCCCTAGGTTCTACACTAGCTACCGTACCTGCATCCCAACTATGGGGATACCTATTTAAACTCTCTGGTCACAACTGCCATCCATTCCTAAGCTAACCAAGATGTAACTCACTATTCATATGCTAGATTTTGCGACACCTATAGATTTCACTTTTTTTCTTATTTGCAAAGTGACAAATTTTTTATAAATTATATATGAATATATATATTTATATTTCAACTTTTAGTAATAAGCATAAATATTATTAAAATTTAATTGCCAGGTTAAGAAACAACAACTATAACATGCTTATTAATAGGAACTTAAGTTACAATGGAATATATCCTAGTTGTGCAGAAAAAAAAATTTGAATAAACAAAAAAAATTACTATACTTACAAGATTAGTATATTAAATAACAAGGTTGATAACTTTATTTATTATTATTATTAATAACATTTAAAATAGCTCTAAATTTATATATATGATTAATTAATATAAAAATTTAATGATTTTTCAACAGCTTTAGAATCAAATATATCTATAAGTGCTAGAATAGTTTCCCCACTATTTATGTTAAGTACATGAATATCATCTATTAATTTTTTAGAAATCTGATTTAAATTTACTATAAATTTATCTATTTTATCACCACTATCAATATAGTAATTATCTGAAATATTACCATCTATTTTATTTAATTTTTTCTTAGAAGGTTAGAATTTTTTTTCAATTTGTTTTAATTTTTTTAAGTTTTGGCTTATATATCAAGAGACCTGCATCATTTTTGCAACCCATATTGGTGATAGCCTATTATCACATTCTGTATATATATTACTTAGTATAAAAAAAAAAAGTTTTTTATCGATTTAAAACAGATAATAATTCAATTATAGTTAATATCATAATCATAACCTGTTTTAATTACATAATATATATATAAAAAACTTTTGCAATCCTTATCTAATAAAGTCTATACCTGTTTAAAAGTTGCAAAATTAGATAGAATTGATAAAAGATGATATACTAATTCACTTAAATTCAGAGCTGCACTTAGCATAGTATGCCAGTATCTTAATGGAAATTTTGTAAAACTTGGATTTTTAATAGATAATGCAGAAAATGGACCCTCTTGATTTACATAATTTAGCTATTTATCAATAAATTGGTCTTGATTATGATTAGGATAAAAAGTGCAAAAAAGACCATATGCAGCTTCTTGAATATACAAAAGCCATGTTGAATTTAATTCTTTACTATGATGATATGGATAAAGAAACCAGGTAATTAAAAAAACTAGGTTATAGATTTTTTGCCAATGATTATTAATTTCTATTATTAAAGAATCTTTAAAATTATTATTTGTAAATGAGCTTTTATCTATAATTCCATAAAGCCATGCTCATAATGCAGCTACTTGATCTAATGTTGCTTTTTCTGATTCAAGAATTTTTATAACATAATTATATGGTTTTAACAACTCATAAAACAATTTGAGTTTTGACCAAAAATCATTATTATTAATAATATCGATTATAATATTACTTCTCTATGAATGTGATATTAAATAAGATGTATGTATAAGTGTGATAACCTAAAAATAATTATAGATTAATATTGTATATGTATTAATTATACACATATTATTTAATATATATACATACTTTTAAATTTGTTTTAATTTTTAAAATAGTTTTAGCTAATTTTGTAAATATTGTCCAACAAGTAATACATGGATATTGAGGTTTTAATATTACATTACTAGCTAATTCTCTTAATTTGGACAATGCAAGATTGGAATTTCAAAAATGATTAACAATTACTAGCATATATTTAATAACTGGTGTAAAATATATTGAATCAACTATTTTTTTAACTAATAGATTAGTTTGATATGCTATACACGAAATTGTTAAAACTTTATCACCTATATCATAATTCTAAATATAGAAATAAATAAAATGTTATAACCAGATATTAGTATATACAGATATCGATATAACTAGTATAACATATAATTAAAATATTTATCTCGTGTATGAGACATTGTGCTTTTTTAAAATTAGATCTACTATCTGAAATAAATGCTATCTACTTATTTAATCCAAGACTTATTCCAATTTCTTTATATATAGTGAATATATTATTATCTGTATGATGCTGATTAGAGTAATTATCTATTTTTAAAATTTGACTCTTGTGTTTTTCATTTGTTATAATAAAATTTAACATGCTATTTTTTGATATATTGGTCTACCTATTACCAGATAGTATTAAAAACATAGAATCTGATATAAAATGTTGAATGCTGTATTGAATATTTTCATATATTTTATTTAAAATATCTATACTTAGCTATTTACATGATAAAAGTTTATACTTGGGTTTTAGTATATGAAATAGTTTAATTACTTCTGGGTCTTTCACGAATGATAGTGGTGCATTGGCTGAAATTAATGCTTTAAGTAATTAGTAATTAACAGATATCTTTTCTCTAATAGACAAAACTGAAGTATTTTTAACCTTTAATAGATTATTATAGTTATGGTTATCAACTTGAGATAATAAATCATTATCAACTTGAGGTAATGGGTTATTATTATCTTAAGGTAATAGATTATTTTTTTGTAAGTTTTTAGTTTTTTTAGTATTAGTTTTTTTTAAAATATCTTCAATATTATCATGCTCATCTTGGTAAATTTCTTCACATATTATTAATGAATGTTTGACTATTTGGAAGGTTTCTCAGGACAGTTTTGCTTGCAAAAATTATATTGTGCTAAATAGTGTGTACTGTTTAGCTTTTCGGCTTTACTAAACCATTGCCAAATCAGTTTTGGTTTTCTTTCCAATTTATATTGAGGTGGCATTTGAATACTAGTGATGTAAAAATTTTTTAACAAACCTGGGTATTATATTGCTAACTTTTATTATTTTTTCATAAATAATTAAAACAGAAGCTAGTCAAAACCTCAAAAAAATCTAAAATCTTAACAAGTTTGCATTAAGTTAGCATTAGTTGAATTCTATTTAATTTTTGCTGGGAATTTAGTTGTCAAAATTGTTTGACAGGATGATTTGTTAGGATTTTACTCAAACAATTACATACCTATGCAGTTATTAAAATGCTTGTATAACAATTTTTCACAATTACCAAAATTATTAACTATTATTAACAGAGGTGTGGCGACCTAGTGTAGTGGTCTAGTCGTCACCCTCTCCAAGTGGCAGGTCTAGAGTTCAAATCCCATGGTCGACGAATTTTGAAAAATAGCCTGTATTACGGTTTACGGTTGTCGATTATCGGTTGGATCTAGAAATCTGTAATCTCG